GATTTATCGAGGATATTAACAGTTTTCTTTTTTTTTTCACGTTAATCACTTTTTCTTAAACCGATACTTTCAGATATGATTATTTTTACCAAAAAAATTACGATTGCTGAACTACATTCTGGAATATTTCACTCGTTATCTCACCGAAAAATGTTTCTTTTTGGTGTAATCTTTGAAATGGAACTGTCGAGGGTTGGTTAAATTTATAGCGATGTTATATTTTAGAAAAATAAATTTGGGGCGTAGTTTTATATAACAATTTTGATTTGAAAAATAGAACTACATACTCGAAAGTAGTTTAACGTGCATATGAACGTGACTTAACTGCGAAAACAAGTACCATACGGGTTTTTTTTTCGATAAAGTCTTAAAAATATTTACGGTTCGATCACGTACCAGAAAAATATTAAATTTATTATATTACGTTAAGATTTAATTTTAAAGTTTAAGTTTAATAAAATGAATATTTGATATCGAAAATTTATTTAATATGAAATTTACTACAAGATAAAATGAACTAATTAACATTTCATTGCGGATATTGGAACGTTGATAAATAATAATTACGGTTAGAAATTTGTATAATTAAAGCGAAACACCGAGGCTAATGAATTACCACAAAGAAAAATTGTAGAAATGTACTTGCTATGTTATAAATATTATAATTTTAAATTATCTAGTAAATAGATAGTAAAGTGAGATATATATAGAATTTACTGATGCATTAAAACGATAATAACACACATAATCATTCGATCACGTTCTATTTAAACGGAAATCCTCAAAACCATTAAATTTGTGAGTTGAGTAGATTAGAAAAACTAAGTCTTTTTTATACGATTTGATAACAATTTGACCCATTTTTGTGATTTATCAACCAACCTTGGAAGATATGATTTAGTTTTAATTTGAAAATGAATTTCTTTTTATGCTTTTTGCCTTGAATATTCTCTTTTCTTCTGGGACGGAAACCACTGAAATTTCCCATGTGAGGATCGAACACAAATAAAAAGAGATGATGTATAAAATTGAGGTCTTATATGATGCATCGATACAATATGAAAGGGATTTTGTTGCTACTTATTTAATGTATATTTAATATATAAAATCTCTTGTTGCAGTTTCGTCTAGTTTCCTTCTCTTTGCTTGTAATTCAACACCACGTTCATTACTAACAAAACTGTCGCTGTTATCACTTTCGATTATTAATTAAAGTATCCTCTTCTTAATGCAAAAAGCCGTTTTGAAAAATCGCTTTTAGTTTTTGAGATATAAATTTTTGAAATGATCGTCAATTTTTAGAATTTTTCAATTTTCGTCGATTAAGTTTTAAAAATTCGTATAAAATCCACTTCTTGGAATATGAGTACGAAAATTTCCTAAAGTGTTAATAAAAGTGTCCTCTTTTCAATGAACCAACCCGTTTTGAAAAATAACGTTTAGTTTTTGAGAAAACAATATTTTAAATTTTGATCAAATTTTCGATGTTGTAATTTTCATCGATAATTTTCAAAATTCGCTATAAAATTAATTTCTTGAAGGATCCTTGTGGAAATATCACCAATTATGAATTAAAGTCTCCTCTTTTTAATGCAAAAAACCGTTTTGAAAAATCGCTTTTAGTTTTTGAGAAATAAATTTTTGAAATGATCGACAGTTTTTCGAATGTTTCAATTTTCGCCGATTAAGTTTTAAAAATTCGTATAAAATCCACTTCTTGGAATATAAGTACGAAAATTTCCTAAAGTGTTAGTAAAAGTATCCTCTTTTCAATGAACCAACCCGTTTTGAAAAATAACTTTTAGTTTTTGAGAAAGCAATATTTGAAGTTTTGATAAAATTTTCGATAATCGATAATTTTCAAAATTCGCTATAAAATTTATTTTTTGAAGGATCCTTGTGGAAATATCACCAATTATCAATTAAAGTATCCTATTTTTAATGCAACAAGCCGTTTTGAAAAATCTCTTTTAGTTTTTGAGATATAAATTTTTGAAATGATCGACAATTTTTTCGAATTTTGCAATTTTCGCCGATTAAGTTTTAAAAATTCGTATAAAATCCATTTCTTGGAATATGAGTATGAAAATTTCCCAAAGTGTTAATAAAAGTGTCCTCTTTCCAATGAACCAACCCGTTTTGAAAAATAACTTTTAGTTTTTGAGAAAACAATATTTGAAGTTTTGATAAAATTTTCGATGTTGCAATTTTCATCGATAATTTTCAAAATTCGCTATAAAATTAATTTCTTGAAGGATCCTTGTGGAAATATCACCAATTATTAATTAAAGTATCCTCTTTTTAATGCAACAAGCCGTTTTGAAAAATCGCTTTTAGTTTTTGAGAAATAAATTTTTGAAATAATCGACAATTTTTCGAATGTTTCAATTTTCGGCGATTAAGTTTAAAAAATTCGTATAAAATCCACTTCTTAGAATATGAGTACGAAAATTTCCTAAAGTGTTAATAAAAGTGTCCTCTTTTCAATGAACCAACCCGTTTTGAAAAATAATTTTTAGTTTTTGAGAAAGCAATATTTGAAGTTTTGATAAAATTTTCGATAATCGATAATTTTCAAAATTCGGTATAAAATTAATTTCTTGAAGAATCTTTGTGGAAATATCACCAATTATTAATTAAAGTATCCTGTTTTTGAAATTGCTTCATTAGTTAAGTCAGCATCAAAAAAGTTCATTCTGTATCTTGGATCCAAATAAGTTGACTAAAAGCTCCAAAAGCTCCAAAAGTTTTAAAACTAAAACTAGAACTAACACTAGACCTAGATTTAGAAATATTCGAATGTTTCTAGTTCTAGGTCTAGTGTTAATTTTAGTGCTAGATAGTGTTAATTGGCACTACTATCCGTGCCAAAAATCAAGACTCCTCACTTTAGAGATCGATATCTTCGCAACCACTTGATAAAAAAAATTGCGGTAAACTTTATTGTAATTACTGAACATTTCTACGTAACATAGGTGAATTTGAAAATTTTCGGCTCCGCGGTTTTCTTTTTATCGCGAGCTAAATGCAAACAATAGCAATATACACTTTGCGATTTTTTTTCTCAAAAACTATCCGATGAAAAAATTTAAAATTTGAGTGGGTGGTAGAATGATGTGTTCTTAATGAGGGGCATATTTTATTTTTTTGATATTTGTTGTAGTTCCGCAAAAAATCGCGGTTTAGTAGGATGCGGTTATTTCGAAAACGNACAAGCCGTTTTGAAAAATCGCTTTTAGTTTTTGAGATATAAATTTTTGAAATGATCGACAATTTTTTCGAATTTTGCAATTGTCGCCGATTAAGTTTTAAAAATTCATATAAAATCCACTTCTTGGAATATGAGTACGAAAATTTCCTAAAGTGTTAATAAAAGTGTCCTCTTTTCAATGAACCAACCCATTTTGAAAAATAACTTTTAGTTTTTGAGAAAACAATATTTGAAATTTTGATCAAATTTTCAAAATTCGCTATAAAATTAATTTTTTGGAGGATCCTTGTGGAAATATCAACAATTATTAATTGAAGTATCCTCTTTTTGGAATTACTTCCTTAGTTAAGTCAGCATTAAAAAAGTTCATTTTGTACCTTGGATCCAAATAAGTTGACATATCTTATCAGCTGTTCTAAAAGTTCCAAAAGCTCCAAAAGTTTTAAAACCAAAACTAGAACTAACACTAGACCTAAATTTAGAAATATTCGAATGTTTGTAGTTCTAGGTCTAGTGTTAATTTTAGTGCTAGATAGTGTTAATTGGCACTACTATCCGTGCCAAAAGTCAAGATTCCTCACTTTAGAGATCGATATCTTCGCAACCACTTGATGAAAAAAATTGCGGTAAACTTTATTGTAATTACTGAACATTTCTACGTAACATAGGTGAATTTGGAAATTTTCGGCTGAGCGGTTTTCTTTTTATCGCCAGCTAAATAGAAAAAATACCCGGTTTTTGAGGGTGTCGGCAACTTTGTCCACTTTGCGATTTTTTTTCTCAAAAACTATCCGATGAAAAAATTTAAAATTTGAGTCTGTGGTAGAATGATGTGTTCTTAATGAGGGGCATATTTTATTATTTTGATATTTGTTGTAGTTCCGCAAAAAATCGCGGTTTAGTAGGATGCGGTTATGTCGAAAACGGCTAAATGGATTTTAAAGGGAATTCGAATTAAGAAATAAGATAGAAACAGAAATAAGCCATGGCGAGAGAGGGGGGTTTCGTTCAATCGGAAAAGATAGTGCATTTCAGACAGGACGTCGCGCCTTTATTTTACCTACATAACGAAATAAAGGCGCGACGTCCTGTCTGGAACACACACTAGCACCACCCGATTTTATCTGTTGCGATAAGATTCTGAAGATGCTCTTTTCCATGCTGTCAATTAGAATATTAGATAATACGTTTAATATTATTCCAAATTATCCAAGGTGATGACTTTTTCTTCACAACCCAAATATTAAGATATTATTATTAAAATTTTCGGTATAATAATCGTTTTTTTATCGGTATAATAATCTTTAAAGTGATCAGTAAATCCAAGGTCATCAAGATTAAGTCAATTATCAATTAAAGCGGATCAGGAATCTTGAGGGTTCATCAAAAATCCACAAAAACTTTTATATTAAACTTTTCCAATAAGATTTTCTATTTATATCGGGTTACTCGGTCACAATCTAAACTTATCTCATTCTAAATATACACATTAAACACCCTAGGAAATCTACGATCGTTTAATATAATTAAGATGACGTAATTAGGTCGGTCCGCTTCGTTTAACCGAAAACACAGAAACCACGACGTTTTATAATCCGTATAGACGTGACCGTGAACTAGGGTAACCCATAATCGTTTTAAACGATGGTGATACTTAAATGTCGGCTGTTATAATCCTCAAAGCTTTAATGAAGACATTCGAGTGTCTTTTAATGATTCGTTTATTAGTAATTAAGTAATCGAACGTGATATGTATTAAATAAATGAGATGTACGTTTTTGTTTTGCAGATTGGGCTGAGTAACTTGGTTAGTATAGAACAAGGAGGTGTGAGGATTCAAGGTGCTCCTAAATTAGGCTACATTTTCACTATTGATTGGTCAAAAATCACTAAGTATCAAAATGTTACCGTTGAAAAAATGAATGTTACAACCGATTTTGCACCATGTCCCGAAGTATGTAATGGTTCGTATTTTTTACGTTTGAAATAAGAATGTGATTGTAATAATTTTGGTGGTATTTTAGGGTTTTGTTGGAATAGCACAACTTGCCAAACTTGTATGGATAATAATTCAAGTGAAAAATGTAATGTTTGTCGAAGATATACGTATGAAGGAAAATGTGTCGATGACTGCCCTAAAAATAAGTACGCAAAAATTGATTTCATTTTATATAAATAAATAATATTAGGTTGATGATTTTAGGTACAAATTGGGGTTCACCTGCGTAAGTTTTGAGGAATGCAGGAATTTCACCGGAAAAGATATGTATATATTAGAAACAAATTGCACCGAACGTTGTCCGAAATATCATCATATCACCAACGATAATCAATGTCAACCTTGTGGGAGAAACAGTACTCATTCAAATAACGCAAACAATTTAATTAATAAAGTTTCAAATAACATCGCACATTCAGTCCCATGCCACAAGGTATGCAATGAAACCGTCGTAGATAACATTGGAACTCTTCACAAACTCGAAGGATGCACAATAATAAACGGTTCTTTAACCATAAACGGAAGATACAATTTTAATTTACAACCCAAGCAAATTGATGAATTAATACTTTCTTTACCGTTTTATTTGGACCAAATAAAAGAAATAACCGGCTCGTTAAAAATCCAACAAATGGAGAAACTAAAAAATCTTCACTTTTTAAGTAGCCTCGAAAAAATCGGAACTAACATAACACAAAAAGAATACGCTTTATATTTGGTCGATAATTTAAAACTAAACGATTTATTCTCGCCCAAAGTCACGGAAAATCTTCAAATTGGAAATGGGTCTCTTTCGATTCATTATAATCCATTACTTTGTTTACAAACCATCGAAAATTTAACAATGCATGTTAATAAACTAGATAGCTACACAAACAATGTTGATATTTCCCTCGAATCAAACGGCGAAAAAGCTATTTGCCACGAAACGAATATGCACGTTATTATAACAAATAGGAGTTCTAATAATATAACTTTAAAATGGGACAAACAATCCGATTTGAAATCGAACCAAACCGTTTATTTCGTTTATTACGCTTTAGCTTCGCGTGCATATCAAAGTGTTTCTGGATGCGATAATGCGTGGAGCTCGGAATTAACTACGTCTGAAACGATAACTTTAAAAAATTTGGAGCCGTTTTCAACTTACACTTATTATATTTCCGCGTATGTATCAACCGATAAACCTTCTGATCGTAAAGATACAGCCCACGCAAACTTTTCAACTTTACCAGACGATCCTTCACCTCCACAAAACTTTAACATTACTCCAATAAGTAGTAGTGACGTTTTTCTTAGTTGGTCCCCTCCAGAAGTTTATAACGGGGACCTTTCGGGTTATAAATTATACGTTTATGCGGAACCAGATAATCCCGCGTTAATCTTAGAAAGAGATTATTGTAAATTTCCACACGATTGGCCCAAAACGATGGAATTTGAATACACCGAAGAAGTCGATAAATGCGATTGTGAAACCAGAGAGAACACAATGAACGTATTTGACCAGTTATGTTATCATTCGGTGTTTGGAGATAACGAAAACTGCCAATTATACAGCGATAATCTTTTTCTGGGTGAGAAACGAAGACGATCTAATGAATTTCCGATTGCGAAAACAATCGAGCATGACGAGATGTACATGGTGTTTAATATAAACGCATCATCTAATAATTACACTTTAAGTAATTTAGAACAATTCACGCTGTATGTTTTTTTATTTTCCGCTTGTAATCATCCGCCTAATTTAACACTTGAAGAGTTATCATCGAACGAACAATTGCAAAAAAAGATTTATTGTAGTTCGATCCTTATGAAAACCGCGAGAACTTTAGAAAATGAAACGGCGGATATCGTTAAAACCATCACTTATTATACAAACGATGAAGACTGCATTCTCAATTGGTCCGAACCAAGCCATCCAAACCAAGTTATAGTTTCTTATGAAATAGAATGTAACACAACCATCGAATCACAAAGCTTTTTTCACAGCAAACATTGTTTGCGAAAAGAGAAACAAAACAATCAAAGCAGTTATATCCTACGCAATTTAGAACCTCACAATTATTCATGCACGATATATTCAGTGAGTTTGGCGGGAAAAAGCAAATTAGGACCTACAATCTCTTTTATTATACATAGTCATTCCGATAACAAGTCAATGGTGATTACGTTCTCGGTTTTAAGCGCTTTGGCAATCATCGCCGCAGCTGTTGCTTTTTGGTTTTATCGAAAACACGTACAAGAAGAGAATTTTAAAAATTTACGCATGTTTGCATCTATTAATCCCGAATATGCGGGCGCTATGTACGAACCGGATGAATGGGAAATGGAAAGAGAAAACATTGAGATTTTAAAGGAATTGGGTCAAGGTTCGTTTGGGATGGTTTGCAGCGGATTTATTAAGTCGCAAAATATTCCGTGCGCTGTAAAAACGGTAAATGAACATTGCCAGCACAAAGATTGTATGCAATTTTTAAACGAAGCTTCTATTATGAAATCGTTTAATAGTGCTCATCATGTTGTTAAATTATTGGGAGTTGTATCTAAAGGAAATCCTCCTTTGGTTATTATGGAATTAATGGCTCGAGGTGATTTAAAAAGTTATTTGCGACGTTCTCGGGAATCGTCACATGATATCACATGCGTTGAAATGTATCGAATGGCCGCTGAAATTGCTGATGGGATGTTGTATTTATCAGCGAAAAAATTTATTCATCGTGATTTAGCTGCGAGAAATTGCATGGTTTCTGCTGATCATACGGTTAAAATCGGCGACTTTGGAATGGCTAAAGATATTTATATAACCGATTATTATCGTCAAGCTTCTAAAGGAATGATGCCTGTCAGGTGGATGTCTCCAGAAAGCTTAGCTGACGGAGTATTTACCTCCGATTCAGACGTTTGGAGTTACGGAGTCGTTTTATGGGAAATGTCGACTTTAGCAGAACAACCATATCAAGGTCTCGCGAACGAACAAGTTATCCAATTTATCGTCGCAAAAGGCACATTAGAACGACCGTCCGATTGCCCGGATCTTCTTTACGAAATTATGCAAGTTTGCTGGAAATGGAAACCGGTTGATAGACCGCGTTTTACAGATATTGTTGCTAAATTAGAAAATCATATACGAGAAGATTTCAGATTAGTTTCATTCTATCATTGCAGAGAAGGCGAAGAGTTTCGGATGAATAATAGAGAACGAATTGTTAATCCACCCGCTTTATTGCGAATACCAGTTGAAGATGAATACGTTGGGATGCATTGGAATGCATCCGATGATGATGAAGTTAGCTTATACTCGGGAAAACCAAAAAATAGTTTATTACACCGATCGAAGACATCCTCAAATTTCAGACTGAATTCCAGTACACCTAAGAAAAGCTTCTCTAGTAAATCTATGACTCCGTCATAAATCTGATTTTTTAAAAATGTATTAAATGAATGTGATATCATATTAGTAGTCATTAGAGGTAAAAGTAAGTTTATAAATTAATTAAGAATATTTTTATTAAAATTTCAATTAAAAATCGTCAATTTACGTACCATAAAAAATATTCAATTCAATTCATAATCGAGCTTTTTTTGATACGCTTTATTTCTTATGCAATAATGCCAGATTATTTTTGTTATTAAATTTTCGTGCAAATTTGTAAATAAACCCGCTTAGATAGGTATAATTCGCTTAATAAAAGTTTTAACTCATTTATATCAATTAATATTAACCCAATAATTAATTATATTAATTAATTACAATTTGTTCGTGGTTACCTACTGTTTTTAAAGCAGTTACCAGTGGATTCTAGTCAAATAAAAATTGTAATTTTCCACTATGCAATTTTTAATTTACACGTTCTTTATGTATATAAATGGGTTAAAATATTGTGCATGCGCACTACCATCAGGAAATTTGTCGTACCTGGGTAGATAAAATAATTGTTATCGATTTAAATTAAGAATCACAAGTTTACAAGGTTTTGGACACGTCATTTTTGGTACAAATACGAAGTGTTCAATAATAAAAATGTTGAAATTATAATTAAACATAAAATAAATACATTTTTCATTGAAACTAAATTATCACCCCAATAAAATTACCGTGAATATAAAAATGGGTGTTTTAAAGTTTAATTTGAGATATAGAACGTTTCAGAATTCTCATAAATAAAGATTTGGTGTTGATTTAAAGTTTTCATTGTTTCGAGTGAATAATCTTAAAAAACAATAGTTTTTCTTCTAAATTTCAGTATTAACCCCATTAAAACGATTATCTATCTTAAAATAGATGTTTTAAAGTTTAATTTGAGATATAAAACGTTTCAAATTTCTCATAAATAAAGATTGGGCGTTGATTTAAAGTTTTCATTGTTTCGAGTGAATAATCTTAAAATGCAATCATTATATAAAAATGTTTATCTTCAAAATTTGATTATTAACCCCAATAAAACGATTATCTATCTTAAAATAGATGTTTTAAAGTTTAATTTGAGATATAGAACATTTCAGAATTCTCATAAATAAAGATTGGGCGTTGATTTAAAGTTTTCATTGTTTCGAGTGAATAATCTTAAAATGCAATCATTACATAAAAACGTTTATCTTCAAAATTTGATTATTAACCCCAATAAAACGATTATCTATCTTAAAATAGATATTTTAAACTTTAATTTAAGATATAAAACATTTTAGAATTCTCATAAATAAAGATTGGGCGTTGATTTAAAGTTTTCATTGTTTCGAGTGAATAATTTTAAAAAGCAATCATTACATAAAAACGTTTTTCTTCAAAATTTGATTATTAACCCCCACTAAAACGATTATCTATCTTAAAATAGATGTTTTAAAGTTTAATTTGAGATATAGAACGTTTCAGAATTCCCATAAATACAGATTTGGCGTTGATTTCAAGTTTTAATTGTTACGAGCGAATAATCTTAAAAAAGCAATCATTATATAAAAATGTCTTTTTCAAAATTTGATTATTAACCCCAATAAAACGATTATCTATCTTAAAATAAATATTTTAAAGTTTAATTTGAGATATAGAATGTTTTAAAATTCTCATAAATAAAGATTGGGCGTTGATTTAAAGTTTTCATTATTTCGAGTGAATAATCTTAAAAAGCAATCATTATATAAAAAAGTTTATTTTCAAAATTTGATTATTAACCCCAATAAAACGATTATCTATCTTAAAATAGATATTTTAAAGTTTAATTTGTGATATAGATCGTTTTAAAATTCTCATAAATAAAGATTTCGCATTGATTTAAAGTTTTCATTGTTTCGAGTGAATAATCTTAAAAAGCAATCATTACATAAAAACGTTTTTCTTGAAAATTTGATTATTAACCCCAATAAAACGATTATCTATATTAAAATAGATATTTTAAAGTTTAATTTGAGATATAGAACGTTTTAGAATTCTCATAAATAAAGATTAGGCGTTGATTTAAAGTTTTCATTGTTTCGAGTGAATAATCTTAAAAAGCAATCATTATATAAAAATGTTTTTCTTCAAAATATCATTATTAACCCCACTAAAATGATTATCTATCTTAAAATAGATATTTTAAACTTTAATTTAAGGTATAAAACGTTTTAGAATTCTTATAAATAAAGATTGGGCGTTGATTTAAAGTTTTCATTGTTTCGAGTGAATAATCTTAAAAAGCAATCATTATATAAAAATGTTTTTCTTCAAAATATCATTATTAACCTCAATAAAATGATTATTTATCTTAAAATAGATATTTTAAACTTTAATTTAAGGTATAAAACGTTTTAGAATTCTCATAAATAAAGATTGGGCGTCGATTTAAAATTTTCATTATTTCAAGTGAATAATCTTAAAATGCAATCATTATATAAAAATGTTTATCTTCCAAATTTGATTATTAACCCCACTAACACGATTATCTATCTTAAAATGGATATTTTAAAGTTTAATTTGAGATATAGAACGTTTCAGAATTCTCATAAATAAAGATTGGACGTTAATTTAAAGTTGTGATTGTTTCGGGTGAACAATCTCAAAAAGTAACTATTTATAAAAATGTTTTTCCCAACAACAATTGTGTGTCTTAAAATAGAAATTTTAAATTTTAATTTGAAGTGTAGATTGTTTCAGAATTGCTATAAATAGAGATTGGTCGTTGATTTAAAATTCTCATTGTTTTCTGTGAAAAGCTCTCGAAAACAATCACCACCAAAATAACGTTTTTCTGCAAAACTGAAAAATTAATTCACGCGAAGCAATGGTGTGTTTGAAAATAAACGTTTTATGCTTTAATTAGCGATATAAATCGATACAAAATTTCCATGTATTTTGCTTTTTCGGGTTAATAACCTTAAAATCTAATTTTTGTGTTAAAAGTATTTATCTTCAAAATTATGGTATTAATCCCCATATAATTATTATTTATCTTAAAATAGACACTCAAAACTTTAATTTGGGGTATATCTTATTTCATAATTCCCATAAATAAAGCTTGAGCGATTTTTTTAAAATTCACCTTTTGTGTAATAACCCAAAATGCAATTTTTACTCCAAAGATATTTTTCTTCAAAAATTATGGAATTAACCCCCATATAATTATTATTTATCTTAAAGTAGACATTCAAAACTTTAATTTGGGGTATATCTTATTTCATAATTCCCATAAATAAAGTTTGGGCGATTTTTTAAAAATTCACTTTTTCGTGTAATAACCCAAAACGCAATCTTTACTTTAAAATTAAATTTTCCTTTAAAACTATGTTACTAACCCCTATATATTTATGTTATATCTTAAGGTAGACACTCAAAACTTTAATTTGGGGTATATCTTATTTCATAATTTCCATAAATAAAGTTAGGGCGATTTTTTTTTATAATTCACTTTTTCGTGTAATAACCCAAAACGCAATCTTTACTTTAAAATAAAATTTTTTTCAAAAATATGTTATTAACCCCCATATATTTATTTTATATCTTAAAGTAGACACTTAAAACTTTAATTTGGCGTATATCTTATTTTATAATTCCCATAAATAAAGTTAGGGCGATTTTTTTTAAATTCACTTTTTCGTGTAATACCCAAAATGCAATCTTTACTCTAAAAATAGTTTTCTTTAAAATTATGGTATTAACCCCTATTTTATCTTAAACTAGACACTCAAAACTTTAATTTGGCGTCTAGCTTCTTTCATAATTCCCATAAATAAAGTTTGGGCGATTCTTTTAAAAAATCACGTTTTCGTGTAATAACCCAAAACGCAATCTTTACTCTAAAATTAAATTTTTCTTCAAAAATATGTTATTAACCCCCCATATAATTATTTTATATCTTGAAGTAGACACTTAAAACTTTAATTTGGCGTATATCTTATTTCATAATTCCCATAAATAAAGTTAGGGCGATTTTTTTTAAATTCACTTTTTCGTGTAATACCCAAAATGCAATCTTTACTCTAAAAATAGTTTTCTTTAAAATTATGGTATTAACCCCTATTTTATCTTAAAGTAGACACTCAAAACTTTAATTTGGCGTATATCTTATTTTATAATTCCCATAAATAAAGTTAGGGCGATTTTTTTTAAAAAATCACGTTTTCGTGTAATAACCCAAAACGCAATCTTTACTCTAAAATTAAACTTTTCTTCAAAAATATGTTATTAACCCCCCATATAATTATTTTATATCTTAAAGTAGACACTTAAAACTTTAATTTGGCGTATATCTTATTTCATAATTCTCATAAATAAAGATTGGGCAATTTTTTTTTAAAATAAATTTTTCGTGTAATAACCCAAAACGCAATCTTTACTCTAAAATTAAATTTTTCTTCAAAAATATGTTATTAACCCCCCATATAATTATTTTATATCTTAAAGTAGACACTTAAAACTTTAATTTGTGGTATATTTCATTTCATAATTCCCATAAATAAAGTTAGGACAACTTTTTAAAAAATTCACTTTTTCGTATAAAATACAACCTTTATTCTAAAAATATTTTTCTTTAAAATTATGTTATATATAATTCTTATTTATCTTAAAGTAGACACTCAATAACTATATTCTTTCTCTTTTGAACCCATCTTTACTTTAAAAATATTTTTCTTAGACCATTTGTTATTGAACATTTAATTTTAGAAAATCTTAATCGAAGGTGTTCAAAAATTAACCAATACTTGTAAACATGTGAGATTAGTTTATAAGAATAATCGACGTCATCGTCCTTTCCAAGAAACAAAGGCAAAATGTGTTCAATTTTTATTAAAATCCTATTATAGCTGTAGCTCAATTTTATCTGTTAAACCTAATTATACTCCTATTATGCTTAACTAATCTTAAAAAATATATATGAATGTAATAATTGGTGGATAATGAAGTAATCTGTGGTCATACATATCTATTGTAGATGTTGGTGGCGTCAGATGTATTAAATGTATAAATGTAACTTTGTTCCATCTCAAGCCATGTTTTATTTTGCGTTACTATTACTTTTTATTTTTCAATTTACTTTAAAACTGCCTTTCATTATTAACATTATTAATTTTCCTTTTTTATTATTTAGAATAAGATTTGAGAATTGTAATATATGTAACGTTAACGGAATTGCGTATCGTGGTCCACTCGAATTATATTTAGGTGCTAAGAAAACATTGTAAATAATGAAACCAAAATCTCCATGCATAATTATTTTTTTTTAATTTTATATTCGCACACTTCATAATTCGTTTCTTTTTAAATTACATTTAGAAAATTAATGTATTAAAGATTACTATTAGTAGTTTAGCTTTGTCTAAGTTCCTTAAAAAGTTTAATTGATAGCGAATTTTTTAGTATGTACTGAAACAAACCCCACAAACACACCCCTATTTTATCAACGATATCGAAAATGATACTATTTTTTAAACATGTTGTTATTTAGGTTTAAAACGTTTGTGAAGCATTGTATTTTCTATATGTTGTTTACTGATGAGAATAAATTTCATATAAAATTTTTTTTTATTATTGGGGTAATTTTGAAACGTCCAGTTCCATCGGTGAGTCGTTTATCGAATGAATTTCGTCCGCAGGTTGCGTCTTTACCGATTTCGAATCCGAATGGGGTTCGTGTATCAACCAACAGGGGTCGTCGGCGTACGCATTTTTCGTTGGAAAATGAGCCACTACATCTAATATAAGTCCTAAAATAAATACAGAAAACAAATTTTAATCAACACAAAAACAAATAAAACATTTCACAAATTAATTTGGTGCAAATTTTAATTTTATTTAGTACCCTTAATTCCTTCGAAAATGTTTTAATAAATAACATCTTTCCATCGGGAATAACCCAAAATTTAATATCATCAAAATCTTCATTTTTATTATCATTTTTCTGCGAAATAATATTTCCTATAAAAAACGTTTTTAGTTATTAAAAAAAAATTAAATGAAATAAAACAGAGATTGATGTTTGATTTTATTTTGGGTTTCCTATCAAAACAGACCGTATAGTTGAGATAATAAGATTAGGATACTGCAATAGCCTCGAACCAATCACACAACAGATTGGGTTTTAACGTGACACCATAGCTAGAGGTGTTGGATAGTGTATCCCACTTAACGAAATCGATTAAAGCAACAACACGAGATCCTCTCGTACCCTAAATCTATCAGAAACCTTCGTTGGCCCTTCTCTTATAACCGAAAGACCACACGTTTTCGTGTGTGTTATCGAAACCATCACAAAAGCGACGCTTTAAATTTTAGGGTTCGTGTACCGGAATACCTGTTATTATGTATCGAACAATTACATTGTGTTTTTGCTGCACCACATAGAAGAATGGGTTTGTATTAAATTTTGATTGATATTAATCATTATTTATTGATGATGATGGGGTTTAGTTCTTTTCAAAATAGTAAAAGCTTACACGGTTTGGGACACTAGACGATTATGAGCATTTGATATGGAAACTTTTATATGAGAGATTAAAATTAACTAAGACTCTTAGACTTAGACTCTTAGACTTAGTATACTGTAACTATCAGAGAGTTGACAATCAGACATAGATGGAGAAATTGAATTGCATTAGACTGAAGACCTAGAGAAAAGTCGAGACTTTTCTCTTTTTGCACTGATACTAATTAAATAGCAAGAGAAACCCTGAAATTGCATCGGCAAGACTGGAGTTTTCATAAAAAACTCTGGAGTTGCACTAATAGTACAATTAACAGCAAGAGGAACTCTGGAATTGCATTAGTAAGCTGGATACTCGAAGCAAAACTCTAAAATTATACGATAGTACTCTAAACAGCAAGAAAAATTGCATTAGCAAGCTAGAAACTTGAAGTAAAAGTCTGAATTTAGATTGATTAAACGCTAAAGTGCAACAGAAAGGCTGTAATTGCACTGATAGTTGTTAAGCAGCAAGAGGAACCCTGAAATTGCATCGGTAAGACTGGAGTCTTCATAAAAAACTCTGGAGTTGCACTGATAGTACAATTAACAGCAAGAGGAACTCTGGAATTGCATTAGTAAGCTGGATACTTGAAGCAAAACTCTGAAATGATACGATAGCACTCTCAACAGCAAGAACAATTGCATTAGCAAGCTAGAAACTTGAAGCAAAAGTTTGAATTTACATTGATTAAAGGCTAAAGTGCAACAGAAAGGCTGTAATTGCACTGATAGTTGTTAAGTAGCAAGAGGAACCCTGAAATTGCATCGGTAAGACTGGAAACTTCATAAAAAACTCTGGAGTTGCACTGATAGTACAATTAATAGCAAGAGGAACTCTGGAATTGCATTAATAAGCTGAATACTTGAAGCAAAACTCTGAAATGATACGATAGCACTCTCAACAGCAAGAACAATTGCATTAGCAAGCTAGAAACTTGAAGTAAAAGTCTGAATTTACATTGATTAAACGCTAAAGTGCAACAAAAAGGCTGTAATTGCACTGATAGTAGTTAAGTAGCAAGAGGAACCCTGAAATTGCATCGGCAAGACTGGAGTCTTCATAAAAAACTCTGGAGTTGCACTGATAGTACAATTAACAGCAAGAGAAACTCTGAAATTGCATTAGTAAGCTGGATACTTGAAGCAAAACTCTAAAATTATACGATAGTACTCTAAACAGCAAGAAAAATTGCATTGGCAAGCTAGAAACTTGAAGCAAAAGTCTGAATTTACATTGATTAAACGCTAAAGTGCAACAGAAAGGCTGTAATTGCACTGATAGTTGTTAAGTAGCAAGAGGAACCCTGAAATTGCATCGGCAAGACTGGAGTTTTCATAAAAAACTCTGGAGTTGCACTGATAGTACAATTAACAGCAAGAGGAACTCTGGAATTGCATTACTAAGCTGGAAATTTGAAGCCAAACTCTGAAATTATACGATAGTACACTAAACAGAAACAATTCTGTAATTACACTGGTTAGACTGGAAACTTGACCAGTTTACAGTACATTAAATAACAAGAGACACTATGGAATTACAAAGAGCAAGAGGAAACTTGACGAAAAAGTTTGGAATTGTATTTGGGACACCCTGTACTATTAAAGTACAGGTGGTCCCAAATTTATTGTCCGCATAGGCTATCTCTGAACTAAAAGTGATAGAAAAAAGTAGCTTACATGTCATGATAGCAATCGTCTTTGGAATTAAGATTTTAAAAAAATGAGCAATGGCTTCCAGAAAAGAAAAGTTGAGTTAGTTAGTTACGTTTTGTTTACAAATGTCAATCAACTCTGACAAAAATATTGGGTAATGTTAGGATAGGTCAGTTTTATTTTGAACTCCAATTACAGCGTGAAGGAATGTCGGGTTTCTTTGGTACCCAATTATAGCGTGAAGAAATCCCTATTAAAGCATGAAGGAATGTTAGGATAGGTCAGTTTTGTTTTGATACTCCAATTATAGCGTGAAGGAATGTCGGTTTTCTTCTGTATCTTAATTATAGCGTGAAGAAATCCCTATTAAAGCATGAAGAATGTTAGGATAGGTCAGTTTTGTTTTGACACTCCAATTATAGCGTGAAGGAATGTTAAGACAGGTAGCTTTCTTTAGAAACGCCAATTAAAGCGTGAAGAAATGTTAGGATAGGTCAGTTTTGTTTTGATACTCCAATTATAGCGTGAAGAAATCCCTATTAAAGCATGAAGAATGTTAGAATAGGTCAGTTTTGTTTTGATACTTCAATTATAGCGTGAAGGAATGTCGGTTTCCTTTTGTACCTTAATTATAGCGTGAAGAAATCCCTATGAAAGCGTGAAGGAATGTTAGGATAGGTCAGTTTTGTTTTGAAACTCCAATTATAGCGTGAAGGAATGTCGGGTTTCTTTTGTACCCAATTATAGCGTGAAGAAACCCTAATTAAAGCGTGAAGGAATGTTAAGACAGGTAGTTTTCTTTTGAACCCCTTATTAAAGCGTGAAGCAACCCTAATTAAAGCGTGAAGGAATGTCGGTTTTCTTTTATACCAATTATAGCGTGAAGAAATCTCAATTAAAGTGTGAAGGAATGTTAAGACAGGTAGTTTTCTTTTGAAATTTCAATTGTACCGTGAAGAAACCCTAATTATAGCGTGAAGAAAGTGTGATAATGTTAGGATAGGTCAGTTTTGTTTTTTCATGTCGATAGTTGCTTGATCTTTTCGGCATTAGCAGTTTTTCAAAAAGCGAGATCATGACATGTAAGCTATTAAAGCTATTAAAGCAAGATAGTACAATTAACAGCAAGAGGAACTCTGGAATTGCATTAGTAAGCTGGATACTTGAAGCAAAACTCTGAAATGATACGATAGTACTCTCAACATCAAGAACAATTGCATTAGCAAGCTAGAAACTTGAAGCAAAAGTCTGAATTTACATTGATTAAACGCTAAAGTGTAACAGAAAGGCTGTAATTGCACTGATAGTTGTTAAGTAGCAAGAGGAACCCTGAAATTGCATCGGCAAGATTGGAGTCTTCATAAAAAACTCTGGAGTTACACTGATAGTACAATTAACAGCAAGAGGAACTCTGGAATTACATTAATAAGCTGGATACTTGAAGCAAAACTCTGAAATGATACAATAGCACTCTCAACAGCAAGAACAATTGCATTAGCAAGCTAGAAACTTGAAGCAAAAGTCTGAATTTGGATTGATTAAACGCTAAAGTGCAACAGAAAGGCTGTAATTGCACTGATAGTTGTTAAGTAGCAAGAGGAATCCTGAAATTGCATCGGTAAGACTGGAAACTTCATAAAAAAACTCTGGAGTTGCACTGATAGTACAATTAATAGCAAGAGGAACTCTGGAATTGCATTAGTAAGCTGGATACTTGAAGCAAAACTCTAAAATTATACGACAGTACTCTAAACAGCAAGAAAAATTGCATTAGTAAGCTAGAAACTTGAAGTAAAAGTCTGAATTTGGATTGATTAAACGCTAAATTGCAACAGAAAGGCTGTAATTGCACTGATAGTTGTTAAGTAGCAAGAGGAACCCTGAAATTGCATCGGCAAGACTGGAGTCTTCATAAAAAACTCTGGAGTTGCACTGATAGTACAATTAACAGCAAGAGAAACTCTGAAATTGCATTAGTAAGCTGGATACTTGAAGCAAAACTCTAAAATTATACGATAGTACTCTAAACAGCAAGAAAAATTGCATTGGCAAGCTAGAAACTTGAAGCAAAAGTCTGAATTTACATTGATTAAACGCTAAAGTGCAACAGAAAGGCTGTAATTGCACTGATAGTTGTTAAGTAGCAAGAGGAACCCTGAAATTGCATCGGCAAGACTGGAGTTTTCATAAAAAACTCTGGAGTTGCACTGATAGTACAATTAACAGCAAGAGGAACTCTGGAATTGCATTACTAAGCTGGAAATTTGAAGCCAAACTCTGAAATTATACGATAGTACACTAAACAGAAACAATTCTGTAATTACACTGGTTAGACTGGAAACTTGACCAGTTTACAGTACATTAAATAACAAGAGACACTATGGAATTACAAAGAGCAAGAGGAAACTTGACGAAAAAGTTTGGAATTGTATTTGGGACACCCTGTACTATTAAAGTACAGGTGGTCCCAAATTTATTGTCCGCATAGGCTATCTCTGAACTAAAAGTGATAGAAAAAAGTAGCTTACATGTCATGATAGCAATCGTCTTTGGAATTAAGATTTTAAAAAAATGAGCAATGGCTTCCAGAAAAGAAAAGTTGAGTTAGTTAGTTACGTTTTGTTTACAAATGTCAATCAACTCTGACAAAAATATTGGGTAATGTTAGGATAGGTCAGTTTTATTTTGAACTCCAATTACAGCGTGAAGGAATGTCGGGTTTCTTTGGTACCCAATTATAGCGTGAAGAAATCCCTATTAAAGCATGAAGGAATGTTAGGATAGGTCAGTTTTGTTTTGATACTCCAATTATAGCGTGAAGGAATGTCGGTTTTCTTCTGTATCTTAATTATAGCGTGAAGAAATCCCTATTAAAGCATGAAGAATGTTAGGATAGGTCAGTTTTGTTTTGACACTCCAATTATAGCGTGAAGGAATGTTAAGACAGGTAGCTTTCTTTAGAAACGCCAATTAAAGCGTGAAGAAATGTTAGGATAGGTCAGTTTTGTTTTGATACTCCAATTATAGCGTGAAGAAATCCCTATTAAAGCATGAAGAATGTTAGAATAGGTCAGTTTTGTTTTGACACTCCAATTATAGCGTGAAGGAATGTTAAGACAGGTAGCTTTCTTTAGAAACGCCAATTAAAGCGTGAAGAAATGTTAGGATAGGTCAGTTTTGTTTTGATACTCCAATTATAGCGTGAAGAAATCCCTATTAAAGCATGAAGAATGTTAGAATAGGTCAGTTTTGTTTTGATACTTCAATTATAGCGTGAAGGAATGTCGGTTTCCTTTTGTACCTTAATTATAGCGTGAAGAAATCCCTATGAAAGCGTGAAGGAATGTTAGGATAGGTCAGTTTTGTTTTGAAACTCCAATTATAGCGTGAAGGAATGTCGGGTTTCTTTTGTACCCAATTATAGCGTGAAGAAACCCTAATTAAAGCGTGAAGGAATGTTAAGACAGGTAGTTTTCTTTTGAACCCCTTATTAAAGCGTGAAGCAACCCTAATTAAAGCGTGAAGGAATGTCGGTTTTCTTTTATACCAATTATAGCGTGAAGAAATCTCAATTAAAGTGTGAAGAAATGTTAAGACAGGTAGTTTTCTTTTGAAATCTCAATTGTACCGTGAACAAACCCTAATTATAGCGTGAAGAAAGTGTGATAATGTTAGGATAGGTCAGTTTTGTTTTTTCATGTCGATAGTTGCTCGATCTTTTCGGCACTAGCAGATTTTCAAAAAGCGAGATCATGACATGTAAGCTATTAAAGCAAGAGAAAGTCTGTAATTGTACTGATAAGACTGAAGACTTGAAGGAAAAGTTTGCAAGTACTGAATTTGCACTAAATCAATGATAAAGAGAAAAAGAAGTCTGCAATTGCACTGGCAAGACTGGAGAGTTGAAGGAAATGTTTGGAATTATTTTAATATTACACCAAACAGCAAGAGGAACTCTATAGTTACAACGACTAGACACCATACAGCAGAAAAGAACTTTTTGATTTACTCTAACCAGAGTCCAAACTACAACGAAGTATCAGGAATTTCAGCCGAATTACAAATTCTAAACGAAAACCTGTAATTCGGCTACACTCTAAACTTTATGAAGGAATCTGAAATGATAGTGATAATACTTTAGAATTTAAAGAAATTTCAGGAGTTATTCTAGAACATTCTAAATATCACGAAAATTGACAGAGTTAAGCTTGCCAAGTTCCAAACTATTAGAAAATCTGTGGAATTATCCAAATTCCTGAAGCAGCTAATTAATCTGTTGCACATTGTCTTCTGCACATTAAGATATACTATCGCCTGACAATAAGTTACCACCACAAACTTCATTTTCAAAAAGATAACGACGTAGTCTATTCATATTTTTGTTTTCTCATGTCGATAGTTGCTCGATCTTTTCGGCATTAGCAGTTTTTCAAAAAGCGAGATCATGACATGTAGCTATTAAAGCTATTAAAGCAAGAGAAAGTAATTGCACTGATAAGATTGAAGACTTGAAGGAAAAGTTTGCAAGTACTGAATTTACACTAAATCAATGATAAAGAGAAAAAGAAGTCTGCAATTGCACTGGCAAGACTGGAGAGTTGAAGGATATGTTTGGAATTATTTTAATATTACACCAAACAGCAAGAGGAACTCTATAATTACAACGACCAGACACCATACAGTAGAAAAAACTTTTTGACTTACTCTAACCAGAGTCCAAACTACAACGAAGTATCAGAAATTTCAGCCGAATTATAAATTCTAAACGAAAACCTGTAATTCGGCTACACTCTAAACTTTATGAAGTCTGAAATGATAGTGATAATACTTTAGAATTTAAAGAAATTTCAGGAGTTATTCTAGAACATTCTAAATATCACGAAAATTGACAGAGTTAAGCTTGCCAAGTTCCAAACTATTAGAAAATCTGTGGAATTATCCAAATTCCTGAAGCAGCTAATTAATCTGTTGCACATTGTCTTCTGCACATTAAGATATACTATCGCCTGACAATAAGTTACTTCATTTCCAAAAAGATAACGACGTAGTCTATTCATATTTTAATTCATCAAGGTCATTGAGTTTCAGTAAAAAATGTTGGCAAAGGTTAGTTTTGTTTGCAGGGTCAATGACTTCCAGCTCTAGAAGAACCTCTAGAAGAGGTGAATATTTGAGTAAGTCTCTTTCTCAAGTCAACTTGGATGTCATATTTTGAGAATTTATGACGATGATTAAGGAATGTATGTATTGATGCGTGATGATTAAACGATGAAAGGAACTGCAGCGATCAAAGAATCGTTAAACAATCAAAACTGATGATATTGTTATTATTGGAGCGTGTAGATCCCCACAAGGCCATTTAACTCAAGTCTCGAAAGTGTCATCAACGAAGTTTGCTTGATAATACCAAACTCGTCGAGGATGGACCGTTCAGATTACCTCCAAGCAGTCCAACTTTGCAGAGGGAGTTTAGCCATCCAGGGAATAACATTTAATAGTCTGAGTTTATGAAATATACAGATGAATATAAAACTGCTTTCGAACCATAAGTATACTCGGCTCGTCCACGTTGTTAGAGTCTACCAAGATACAGAAGAACAGATATAAGTCTTTTATCCTATCATTATTATCTTATTCACTCGTCCGTGAAATTTCATTTACAAAACACAACCAATCAGTTTTTTAACACTAATCAAATTGTAACTAAAACTTCGAATAGAAGCTGTTCATTTTCAAATAAAAGGTCCCGAATTTGTAATTAATTTTCATGTATAATAAATTCTCTGTAAGCGCGTGTTTGTTCCCCAGTATTCATTAATAGTTATTAAATTTGAATCTGCACAAATGATAAATTACATGAAACTCGTTATTCAGCTATTGGGTAAATTACGCACGAACATTAGCAAACGTTTCCGATTGTTTTTCGGTTTTAACAAACAATAGGTGTGGTTCATACAAAAAGTTTTTTTTTAAATAAAAAAGTTATTTTCAAAACATATTTTGTTTTGATAATTTTGATTTTAAAGCTTTTGTGTAACATAATCCTTCTTGTTCCTTTGATCGTATCGTAACGTAACAAATCTGTTGGTTTGGTATTTTAGTCATCGAACCAGAAGGAGAAGAGAAGGGCTAACGTTACAGCGTTTGCTTACTGACCCTTGAACGCCACGAGGACGAGAGAGGATCGTCGTCGTCCGGCTTTGAAAATTGAAAGACGTCTCGATGGTAGGAAGGAGCCCGATCGGGCGTGAAGGGTTCCTCCACCACCTGAGACCGACGAAATTCACGGGTACTTTACCTGTTATTAGACCGGATACGATGGCTATTATTACAGTGACAACGACGGCAAGAATTTGATATCCGGCCTGTACTGAGGCGGTCCTTGCTTCGATGTTGTCGGTAAGAGAAGAAGTGTTTGTTGGGGCTCTAGCCGGAAATAGCTCGTACACTTGCGGCCCGTATCGGTCCGTTGAGGCAATTCCAGCCATCAGAGCCCCCACGAGACCAGCCAACACTCCGGGCATTCCGTGCAAGTTGTGGACACCGCACGTGTCGTGAACGCGGAGTGTTCTATTAATGGATGGCTGAGAATAAAGAATTAATTTCTTTTTTTAATACATATAAAACATCTTTAAAGAAATATGAGTTTAATAGTTAAACGGGTTAAATGTTACGAGACAACCGCTTTCTAGACAGTTTTATTTCCGTTGGGAAGAATGCCGTATTTCTCCCCTTTAAAGTTTTGCCCTAAAAATATAAGGGCAGGTATGAGTTCGTGACATAACTCTCGACTACCGGTCTGAACTCGTAACTGCCACGTTGCACCGTAAAAAAACATTACGTGTTAAAAATACATATGAAAATCGACAAAACTTCAGCGAAAGTCACCTTTTATAAAATAAAAACTTATTACGTACTGAACCAACAAAGAAAAAAAAACATCACCTTCTTATCTTTAAAAATTTACAATTTCAAAATGAAAAGTTTACTTTCTCATTTAACAAGTCTTTTTCATGGTATAGATCGATAATATTAGAACCTTCATGTTAAATTAAACTACATAATAACAAGTTGTTTACCGTCAAAACGCTGTATCCAAATACAGAGAGTGCCCCGGCAACAATTCCAACAATAATAGCACCGTATGGTTGGATGAGTAAATTTGCGCTCGTTCCAATTGCCACTCCACCTGCAAGGGTTGAATTTTGAATGTGCACCATATCAAACTTGCGATTTGGGGTCATTGCAGCTGAAAGGGCATACGCTGTTACGCAACATGATGTTAAAGCTAAATATGTATTAACTATTCCTCGAAGTTTTTGGTCTCCCTCGAGTTCGGCGGAATTAAAACTTGGCCAGAACATCCACAAGAACACAGTACCTAAAAATAGAAAAAAAAAATAGATGATTAATAAACACAATATTTTAAAAGTACAAAACAAGGTATTTAATTTCCAGCGAGAGAAGAATTGTTCCTCTTTGTTTTATTTTGCTTTTTATTTATTCAGTTTCGCCGGACGGTAAAAAATTAAAGATAAACAGCGTTTTTAATCTTTTCTCGCCCTGAAATGAGAACCGCTTTCGTTTCATTGTAATACTTCCTTGTTACCACGCCCAAAATTACTATTTTATTAAAGTGAAATAAAAATTATATGGGACATTTATTCTTCATTAAATTTACATTAAAATGTTGGTTATTACGTCATGATATCTCAATTCGTTCTTGAGATACGATCTTTTTAAGCATTAGATTTTTACTTGTAGAGTTGGGATTAAAAAATATACATAACAACGAAGTTTATGGAAAATAAGAAATAATTTAAGGCATATTTAATCTTAATTAAATTTGCTTTAAAATACTTCTTATTTCATCACGATATCTCAATTTGTCCTTGAGATACGATATCTTAAAGTTGAATGCTTCAAATCCACATCGTTCAACGATACGGAGTTGGGTTTAAAAATCATAACAACGAAGTTTATGAAAATAAAGAAATTATTTAAGACATCTTTAATCTTAATTAAATTTGCTTTAAATTGTTGCTTATTTCATCATGATATCTTAATTTGTTCATGAGATACGATCTTTTTAAGCATTAGTTAAATCTAAATCAACTCGTAGAGTTGCGATTAAAAAATATGCATAACAACGAAGTTTATGGAAAATAAGAAATAATTTAAGGCATATTTAATCTTAATTAAATTTGCTTTAAAATGCTTGTTATTTCATCGTGATATCTCAATTTGTTCCTGAGATACGATATGTTAAAGTTGAATGCTTCAAAATCATATCGTGTAATGGCACGGAGTTGGGTTTAAAAATCATAACAACGAAGTTTATGAAAATAAAGAAATTATTTAAGACACGTTTAATCTTAATTAACTTTGCTTTAAAATGTTGCTTATTTCATCATGATATCTTAATTCGTTCTTAAGATACGATTATTTAAATTTTGATTTTTCAAATTTAAAGAAACACGTAGAGTTGAATTTAAAAAATCATAACAACGAAGTTTATGGAAAATAAGAAATAATTTAAGGCATATTTAATCTTAATTAAATCTGCTTTAAAAAGCTTGTTATTTCATTACGATATCTCAATTTGTCCTTGAGATACGATATCTTAAAGTTGAATGCTTCAAATCCACATCGTTCAACGCTCCGGAGTTGGGATTAAAAATCATAGCAACGAAGTTTATGAAAATAAAGAAATTATTTAAGACACCTTTAATCTGAATTAAATTTGCTTTAAAACGTTAGTTATTTCATCATGATATCTTAATTCGTTCATGAGATACGATTATTTAAATTTTGATTTTTCAAATTTAAAGAAACACGTAGAGTTGAATTTAAAAAATCATAACAACGAAGTTTATGGAAAATAAGAAATAATTTAAGGCATATTTAATCTTAATTAAATCTGCTTTAAAAAGCTTGTTATTTCATTACGATATCTCAATTTGTCCTTGAGATACGATATCTTAAAGTTGAATGCTTCAAATCCACATCGTTCAACGCTCCGGAGTTGGGATTAAAAATCATAGCAACGAAGTTTATGAAAATAAAGAAATTATTTAAGACACCTTTAATCTGAATTAAATTTGCTTTAAAACGTTAGTTATTTCATCATGATATCTTAATTCGTTCATGAGATACGATTATTTAAATTTTGATTTTTCAAATTTAAAGAAACACGTAGAGTTGAATTTAAAAAATCATAACAACGAAGTTTATGGAAAATAAGAAATAATTTAAGGCATATTTAATCTTAATTAAATTCGCTTTAAAATGCTTATTATTTCATCGTGATATCTCAATTTGTTCTTGAGATATGATATCTTAAAGTTGAATGCTTCAAATCCACATCGTTCAACGATACGCAGTTGGGTTTAAAAATCGTAACAACGAAGGTTATGAAAATAAAGAAATTATTTAAGACACGTTTAATCTTAATTAAATTTGCTTTAAAATGTTGCTTATTTCATCATGATATCTTAATTCGTTCTTGAGATACGATTATTTAAATGTTGATTTTTCAAATTTAAAAAAACACGTAGAGTTGAATTTAAAAAATCACAACAACGATGTTTATGGAAAATAAGAAATCATCAGGCATATTTAATCTTAATTAAATTTGCTTTAAAATGCTTGTTATTTTATCATGATATCTCAATTTGTCTTTGAGATATGATATTTTAAAGTTGAATGCTTCAAATCCACATCGTTCAACGATACGGAGTTCGGTTTAAAAATCATAACAACGAAGTTTATGAAAATAAAGAAATTATTTAAGACACGTTTAATCTTTATTAAATTTGCTTCAAATTGTTACTTATTTCATCATGATATCTTAATTTGTTCTTGAGATATGATTATTTCAATTTTGAATTTCAAATTTAAAGAAACACGTAGAGTTGAATTTAAAAAATCATAACAACGATTTTTATGGAAAATAAGAAATAATTTAAGGCATATTTAATCTTAATTAAATTTGCTTTAAAATGCTTGTTATTTCATTATGATATCTCAATTTGTTCTTGAGATACGATACCTTAAAGTTGAATGCTTCAAATCCACATCGTTCAACGATACGGAGTTGGGATTAAAAATCATAACAACGAAGATTATGAAAATAAAGAAATTATTTAAGACACGTTTAATCTTAATTAAATTTGCTTTAAAATGTTGGTTATTTCATCATGATATCTTAATTCGTACTTGAGATACGATTATTTAAATTTTGATTTTTCAAATTTAAAGAAACACGTAGAGTTGAATTTAAAAAATCATAACAACGATGTTTATGGAAAATAAGAAATAATTTAAGGCATATTTAATCTTAATTAAATTTGCTTTAAAATGCTTCTTATTTCATCACCATATCTCAATTTGTCCTTGAGATACGATATCTTAAATTTGAATGCTTCAAATCTACATCGTTCAACGATACGGAGTTGGGTTTAAAAATCATAACAACGAAGTTTATGAAAATAAAGAAATTATTTAAGACACCTTTAATCTTAATTAAATTTGCTTTAAAATGTTGGTTATTTCATCATGATATCTCAATTCCTTCCTGAGCTATGATTTTTTAATACCTATTTAATTTAATTATTAACTTTTTTCTTCCATTATTATTCTTTAATATTTTTATTCTTTTTTAAACGGTTAAAAAGATGAGAACCAATTTTAACTTAACTTATTACGAAACCCATTTAAGTTATAAAATTACGCACCCGATGAGGCCTCGACGTTGACAAAGACCTGCTAAATGAACTATTAGCTTTGTCTCGAGGGCTCCGACTTAACGATAAGGCTGCTAAAAGCACGTACCTTGCAGGAAAGCCGGAGATTATGAAGGTAGCACGAAGATACGGACTGTAGAAATGCACGGAAATCTGCACACTTTACACATTTCAATGTTAGGTTCGCAATCATTAACGAAGCAAACCGAGTTATGTAATCAAGAATTTGTACTAATTGCCCTAATATTTTAGATGGGAAAAGGAAATGTTTGAAGAATCCCCCCTCTGAATATTCAAATAAAATCGATATTGAGAGTGTGTGGTAATTAGGTAACACAATGGGTATTAAAACAGTGTTGTAGCTAGGAAGCGAGCTCTTCATTCGTAGCTCAACAAGTGTTGGTGGATAGTTGTTGCGGTTTCAAGTATTCATATCGAACTACGCAACTATTCCATTTCAGAGGAATTAACATTGTGCTAAATCGGTTTAATACTCGCGATTAATTTAGTAGCCTTGACAACGCCAAAGTTTGAGACAACATTGCGGTTGTTTACTCACCAATCATTGCAAAAATATCAGAATTATAACTAGATCCTTCCAGCGACGATTCCTCTTCGATATCCTTCTTTCTACACAAAATAAAACTCACAGCTAATCCGAAATAAGCTCCGAATGCATGGACGAAAATTGAATCCCCCGCATCAACAGCCTACAAAAACACCGAAAATATTTAATGTTAAAAAGGCGATGTAAATAAATTACTTTAAAAACGTTAGATCCAAGATAGGAATTTCCCGTGAACACTGCAATTTCAATTATTCCCATTATTATTAATTGAAGATATGAAGTGTTTCCTAGAAGAGCTCCCATCGATATTAACACGGTAGCTGACGCAACATCCGCTTTTAATAAACTGAAAACGTTAATAAATTTCAAAATAGTTGGGGTTTTTTATATTATATTTACCTTCCAACGTTAATAAGTATTTTATAATCGCTGGTGAGGTTATAAAATCCTTTACATACCAAAGCCCATTGAACTATAACCGCAGCTAAAAGAAAATTAAAACCGACAGCGCTAAATCCATATCGTTTCAGGAAAGTCATCAGGTATCCAAAACCAATAAAAATCATCACGTGAACATCTTGAAACACTATAAAAGAAAAATGAATTCATACACTCACATTTTAGTTTTGAATTTTAATAACTTGATGAAAGTGAACATGTTTTAAAGTGTCATTAATATGTAAAAGTTGGTCTAATGAAGTACATTAATTCGTGCATAAAAACGGAGTGGAGATGAGCGAGATTTATTTTTCCTTGCTTAATACACCTCTCGGTTGTATAAAGATCTACGAAGCAAGGTAAACTTTAGTAATTTTGCAGTGTTTGCGAAGGCGGTATGGTGTCGTAAAGAGGTAGTGTAATACCCACAAAGAAACACAAGAAAAATAATAGTTCGCTAGAAAATATAATTATAAAGCGGCGAGTACCGCAGTGTTGCTCCTGATACCGTTATTTTTCAGCGAAAAATTATTTTTAAAAAGCTTTAAAATACGCGCTATAATAACACGGCCGGCAAAACAACATGAAATAATGCCCCGTTGTTGAGGACCGTCTTTCAAGGTATAAGGCCGAGCCTTATAATGCTTTTAGGATGTGCGCTTTGCAAACTTCAGTATAAATTTGCATGGAAGTGTTGAATACATAACAATTGGGGAAACTTTTAAGCCTCGGTACGACAATAACTTTCGACGTAAAGTGGTAGAAGTTTAAACGTGAATGAATAGTGTGGTTTGAAACTAGTTCAGACTTAAAGTACTTCTTATAAACCTTCAAGGTTACTCCCTACAAATGTATAAATAATATCTGGGGTTAACATGTCTGAATATTAAACAATATGATAATAAAATCAACTTTGGATCCCACCTTTTATAGGATTTGAATAGATTTATATAGTTTTGGGTTGAATTTGAATAATTCAATATCTTACTTTCAAAATTTTCGGCTATATCTTTTTATTGAATTAAGATATTTTCATAGATGATATCTTAAAAGAAAGCTTGAACAATAAGGATTTTAATGAGATATGACTCATTTTAATGAAAGATATGATTCGGTTGGTATCAAGTTACGTGATGAAGCTTCAATTAGTTAGAACGAGGCAAAATCATTTGTTGCACAACATTTGAAAGGGTTGTGATATTTTGATGTATGATATCTTAAAAGAAAGCTCAATTGATTAGGAATTTAATGCAATATGATGGGTTTCATTTGAATGATTCAATATTTTTAAAATGGGGTTACTTAGAAATGAATTAATTTGTGAAAATTGGACTTCCACCATATCTTCTATATCTTTTGATTAAATTAAGATATTTTTATGGATGATATCTTAAAAGAAAGCTTGAACAATAAGGATTTTAATGAGATATGACTCATTTTAATTAAAGATATGATTCGGTTGTTATCAAGTTATGTGATGAAGCTTCAATTAGCTAGAACGAGGCAAAATCATTTTTTGCACAACATTTGGAAGGGTTGTGATATTTTGATGACTGATATCTTAAAAGAAAGCTCAATTGATTAGGAATTTAATGCAATATGATGGGTTTCATTTGAATGATTCAATATTTTTAAAATGGGGTTACTTAGAAATGAATTAATTTGTGAAAATTGGACTTCCACCATATCTTCTATATCTTTTGATTGAATTAAGATATTTTTATAGATGATATCTTAAAAGAAAGTTTGAACAATAAGGATTTTAATGAGATATGACTTATTTTAATTAAATATATGATTCGGTTGTTATCAAGTTATGTGATGAAGCTTCAATTAGCTAGAACGAGGCAAAATCATTTTTTGCACAACATTTAAAAGGGTTGTGATATTTCGATGAGTGATATCTTAAAAGAAAGCTCAATTGATTAGGAATTTAATGCAATATGATAGGTTGAATTTGAATGATTCAATATCTTTAAAATGGGGTTACTTAAAATGAATTAATTTGTGGAAATTGGGCTTCCACTATATCTTCTATATCTCTTGATTAAATTAAGATATTCTTATAAATGATATCTTAAAAGAAAGCTTGAACAGTAAGGATTTGAATATGATATGACTCATTTTAATTGAAGATATGATTCGGTTGTTATCAAGTTATGTGATGAAGCTTCAATTAGCTAGAACGAGGCAAAATCATTTTTTGCACAATATTTGAAAGGGTTGTGATATTTTGATGAGTGATATCTTAAGAGAAAGCTCAATTGATTAGGAATTTAATGCAATATGATGGGTTGAATTTGAATGATTCAATATCTTTAAAATGGGGTTACTTACAAATGAATTAATTTGTGAAAATTAGGCTTACTCTATATCTTCTCTATCTTTTGATTAAATTAAGATATTTTTATAAATGATATCTTAAAAGAAAGCTTGAAAAATAAGGATTTTAATGAGATATGACTCATTTTAATTAAAGATATGATTCGGTTGTTATCAAGTTATGTGATGAAGCTTCAATTAGCTAGAACGAGGCAAAATCATTTTTTGCACAACATTTGGAAGGGTTATGATATTTTGATGACTGATATCTTAAAAGAAAGCTCAATTGATTAGGAATTTAATGCAATATGATGGGTTGAATTTGAATGATTCAATATCTTTAAAATGGGGTTAATTAGAAATGAATTAATTTGCGAAAATTGGACTTCCACCATATCTTCTATATCTTTTGATTAAATTAAGATATTTTTATGGATGATATCTTAAAAGAAAGCTTGAACAATAAGGATTTTAATGAGATATGACTCATTTTAATTAAAGATATGATTCGGTTGTTATCAAGTTATGTGATGAAGCTTCAATTAGCTAGAACGAGGCAAAATCATTTTTTGCACAACATTTGGAAGGGTTGTGATATTTTGATGAGTGATATCTTAAAAGAAAGCTCAATTGATTAGGAATTTAATGCAATATGATGGGTTGAATATGAATGATTCAATATCTTTAAAATGGGGTTACTTACAAATGAATTAATTTGTGAAAATTGGGCTTCCACTATATCTTTTATATCTTTTGATTAAATTAAGATATTTTTATGGATGATATCTTAAAAGAAAGCTTGAACAATAAAGATTTTAGTATGATATGACTCATTTTAATTAAAGACATGATTCGGTTGTTATCAAGTTACGTGATGAAGCTTCAATTAGCTAGATCATTTTTTCTACACCATTTGGAGGGGTTGTGATATTTTGATGAGTGATATCTTAAAAGAAAGCTCAATTGATTAGGAATTTAATGCAATATGATAGGTTGAATTTGAATGATTCAATATCTTTAAAATTGGGTTACTTACAAATGAATTAATTTGTGAAAATTGGGCTTCCACTATATCTTCAATATCTTTTGATTAAATTAATATATTCTTATGAATGATATCTTAAAAGAAAGCTTGAACAATAAGGATTTTAACGAGATATGACTCATTTTAATTAAATATATGATTCGGTTGTTATCAAGTTACGTGATGAAGCTTCAATTAGCTAGATCATTTTTTCTACACCATTTGGAGGAGTTGTGATATTTTGATGAGTGATATCTTAAAAGAAAGCTCAATTGATTAGGAATTTAATGCAATATGATGGGTTGAATTTGAATGATTCAATATCTTTAAAATGGGGTTACTTAAAATGAATTAATTTGTGGAAATTGGGCTTCCACTATATCTTCTATATCTCTTGATTAAATTAAGATATTCTTATAAATGATATCTTAAAAGAAAGCTTGAACAGTAAGGATTTGAATATGATATGACTCATTTTAATTGAAGATATGATTCGGTTGTTATCAAGTTATGTGATGAAGCTTCAATTAGCTAGAACGAGGCAAAATCATTTTTTGCACAATATTTGAAAGGGTTGTGATATTTTGATGAGTGATATCTTAAGAGAAAGCTCAATTGATTAGGAATTTAATGCAATATGATGGGTTGAATTTGAATGATTCAATATCTTTAAAATGGGGTTACTTACAAATGAATTAATTTGTGAAAATTAGGCTTACTCTATATCTTCTCTATCTTTTGATTAAATTAAGATATTTTTATAAATGATATCTTAAAAGAAAGCTTGAAAAATAAGGATTTTAATGAGATATGACTCATTTTAATTAAAGATATGATTCGGTTGTTATCAAGTTATGTGATGAAGCTTCAATTAGCTAGAACGAGGCAAAATCATTTTTTGCACAACATTTGGAAGGGTTGTGATATTTTGATGAGTGATATCTTAAAAGAAAACTTGAACAGTAAGGACTTGAACATGATATGGCTCATTTTAATTGAAGATATGATCCGGTTGTTATCAAGTTATGTGGTGAAGCTTCAATTAGGTAGAACAAGACAAAATAATTTTTGCACAACATTTGAAAGGGTTGTGATATTTTGATGAGTGATATCTTAAAAGAAAGCTCAATTGATTAGGAATTTAATGCAATATGATGGGTTGAATTTGAATGATTCAATATCTTTAAAATGGGGTTACTTAGAAATGAATTAATTTGTGAAAATTAGGCTTACTCTATATCTTCTATATCTTTTGATTAAATTAAGATATTCTTATGAATGATACCTTAAAAGAAAGCTTGAACAATAAGGATTTTAACAAGATATGACTCATTTTAATTAAAGATATGATTCGGTTGTTATCAAGTTACGTGATGAAGCTTCAATTAGCTAGATCATTTTTTCTACACCATTTGGAGGAGTTGTGATATTTTGATGAGTGATATCTTAAAAGAAAGCTCAATTGATTAGGAATTTAATGCAACAAGATGGGATGAATTTGAATGATTCAATATCTTTAAAATGGGGTTACTTAGAAATGAATTATTTAATGAAAATTATGCTTTGGCTATATCTTCTATATCTTTTGATTAAATTAAGATATTTTTATGAATGATATCTTAAAAGAAAGCTTGAACAATAAAGATTTGAATATGATATGCCTCATTTTAATTAAAGATATGATTCGGTTGTTATCAAGTTATGTGGTGGCTTCAATTACTTTTTAGTTATTTCACGACTTTATCGTGATATGTCTTGTTCTCATCTAAAATTTAGAACCTTTACAATTAAGTTATTTGTTGTGGCTTAAAATGGATAAAATTAATGTAAATTAGGTTTTTGTATTTTTAGTTATAACGAAAAGAAATGGGAACGAAGACAACTCAAGAACATAAATCTAGACAAAGGAAATACTTGCTACTATAAATTCTTTTGTATCGTAAATAAACTTAGCATAGTATGATTGTTCGAGTGGATTCCTGAAAAATCAGAGTGTAGAAGAAGATAGGGTGTGGTTTTATTTTATTTAGCGTTGGAATTCAATACTAGGGAAGCAATTTCACTTCAAACATAATCCGTCGGCGTCTTCGACGGACTCCAATGACCGCCAGATAATCGAATCTCGCGTCACTTGCAAATAGGACCTGCGCGGTTTTCGAAAACGGTTCGGCTTTCCGATCGGCGGCCAATAGGTAATTGAAATTTCATCCCGACGGATCCATTTCGTCTTTAAATATTTAAGTCGACTATTGGCCCCGAGCCGGTCGGACAGTTTTCAGTGCACGATGTGGGGCCTTGTTCGAGAAAAAAGCGTAAACAACTGCATTATTAAGCAGCGTCGCGGCGTTGGTCGAGTACTGAATGGAACAGAATGGAACCTGGGGGCATTTCGACTTGTTTACCGGCAATTTCCACTACGACCCCGGCAAAGCCAAATTAATCGTTTCAACATCAAAGCGAAGCGGCCACGGTCACAGGCCCCCTTTAACCAACGTCGCTCTATAAACATACATTTGCACTCGTTCTATGGGATAGGGTTCAATTGACCGGTACGTGTATGTATGAGGGGAATCGTATATCATTTCCCTGCAAACTGGTGGGGACTCATTAAAACTCCATCGACTCTGATTACTCATATGTTCCAGTTCAATGGCGTACTTAGCGTTATACAAAGTAGCCGTTAAATCTTTTCATGTCAAACATATTTACAATAGTTTGAGTAAAAAAGAATAATCGCGATTATAAAGACATCCTAAATCTCGGATAAATCCGAAGGCCATAAGAAAAGACTGTGCTGGCCATCGTAAATCTCCTTCCAGTCCATAAAACATCTCCGAGACAGGGCCGCATTACACGGTCAATGTTTACATCAGCTTTATCAGCAATTTATCTGGGTACCTCATCGTTAAATCAATTTAAGACTTGAACGTGCCGTTCGTTGCGCTCGGGCGCGGATCGGTTTGCATGATGGAAAATGAAAAACAAACCTTTGTATTGCAACTAAAAATGTTTACCATCAAATTAACGTTACAAACTACATCAAAGCGATGTTACGAATACAATAAGTGCTTTATGTATACATTTAGGTCATTAGAGCAGAAAGTTTTTGAAAGATTTAAATTAAATTATCTCTCTTATTTACTTTAATAATCAAATATGAAATTTCTTACGTAGCTAATTAGTTACATAACATATTTACCTTATTTTGGGCATAAAAACGTGATGTTTTGACATTCAAAATTTATTAATTATGATAAGAATAAACAAGGTTATTGGGTAAATTTACACTTTTACTTAGCGGTTTTATTAGTTACTAATAAAAGTTACATAAATAGCACTAAAAAAAAATGTGAAACTAAAAATAAAGTTTAATTACTTACTCGGATAAACTTGGAGTTCATAATGATGTTCGTTAGTTTCATATCGAACGAAAAATCCGAATAGAACTAACAATATTAATTGAAAGCTCAAAACCATGTAAATATCTTTTAATTTGGAGCCCATAACGCCTTGGATTGCGTGAGTTGGAATCGTCATTTTTCTCTTTAGGATGATTCTTTCTCGACTACTTCGAATTGTGCTAAAGCTGGGACTAAAGTAGGTGATCTTTGCGCCGTTTAATAAAATTAGTACGTTGGGGAATAGAACCGAGTTGTCAACAGACGACCGCGAATTGTGTAACTGAGAGAGGTATCTTTTGTTGTTCAACGACGAACCGCAATTTCGCTATAAATTATTTACAAAACGAGAGTCGTTTCGAGCAATTTCGTGATTTTAAAACGCTTCCGAGAATGTACCTTCAATCTCGTTATGTTGGATTACGAAAAATCAACGTTTAAATTTTACGATGAAATTGAATTAAAATCAAAAGAAATTGCATTAAAAAAAAAATTAAATTAAAAATTTAAAATTTAAAAAAGCTTTTAGAGTAAATTGTTAGTAAAGATCTGTAGTTGTAAATTTCTAATTCCCAAATGAATTTACTGACTGCGTTCGAAACAAGCTTAAGTTCAAATGGCAAGTGATCGGATGAAGACAAGGTACGGCTTCTTGGCTAATGGACTTGTCCCTTTACAATTAGAAGGGACGATCTCTCCCTTGTATATTTAAGCTAGCCTCTTGCAATGGAACACGAGTTTAGGAAAATGTATAAAGGAACCAAAATCAATTCAAATTATTTTTAATAATTTGAACAAATTGGGTCATAAATTTCTTTAGACAAGGTCGAAAACCACTAAAACTTCCGTCCACCACGACCGGACTGCTGCCATCTCCGGTCCAGTTTTAATTATTTACCCATCCAAAATGCCCTCAACGACTTTCCGGGGTTTCTCCCTTACCCACCGCGGTGCAGCAACCCCGAAATTTACGTTCCTGAATATTATATTAGAAATTAAGTGGCGTAGGAAACCAGCACACACCTGCACTTGACATTTTTACGCGAGTCCTTTTATTGTAACTTCGGTATTTGGAATAGGACGCAGCCGGGTGCCATACTAAAGACGCAAACTCGTAACGAGAAACCGTCGTCTGATGGTGCGCCTATACGGTTCAGATAAGATAACGGCAGTTGTTGTTGCTTCCAAGAAGACAATGTCTTCGGGTGTAGCCGTTCGAAATGGTTGAGGTTAACCCGACGGAACTTTCCTAGATGGGTTGCCTGATAAAGTAATGAAATTACGAAGGAAGGTTTTTATCATCGGGAAAGATTCAGATGGTGTTTAACTTTTAACAAAAAAAGAAGATACGTGATTAAGGAAATGAAAGTCTAATCAAATTCAACACATTTCGTCGGAAATTTTCTCCGTTTTAAGCTATAACGAGTAACCCAATTACAATCGATCTAGATATTAATCTGTTGCAATTCTTATTAATTAACCTTTATTTTAAGATATCAAGCATGAAAATATCTCAATTAATACATCAGATATTTTAACTAGAATCCAAGATTTGAGTAATTGATGCTTTTCTGGGTAATCCGATCTTATCGATATCGAATCATTCAAATTTCACATTTTATTACGTCGGATTCCTTATTAATTAATCTTTCTTGTAAGATAATGGCGAGATATCAATCACGTTTTCCCCCTATTGTAGACTATAACGGGTAACGTAATTTTAAATGATCTAGATATTAGATAGGAATAAGGCATATCACGATTAAATCTTCATTAATTGAGGTTTCTTTTAAGATATTATTCATTAAAATATGTTAATTTTCCCCATAGTTACTAAATGGTGGGATATCAATCACGATTTCCCCATTTTAGACGATAACGAGTAGCTTGATCATAAACGATCTAGATATTGGACAGGAACAAGGCATATAGAAATGAAATCCTCATTAATTAAGCTTTCTTTTAAGATATTATTCATTGAAATATCTTAATTTTTCCCATAGTTATCACTTGGTGATCTCATCATACGATTTACTCCATTTTGGTGTGTAACGATTAACCTGATTGTAAATGATCTAGATATTAGATAAGAACAAGGCATATCACAATAAACTCGTCATTAATTAAGCTTTCATTTAAGATATTATTCATTGAAATATCTTAATTTTCCCCATAGTTATCATATGATGATCTCATCATACGATTTACTCCATTTAGGTGTGTAACGATTAACCTGATTGTAAATGATCTAGATATTAGATAAGAACAAGGCATATCACAAAAAAATCCTCATTAACTGAGCTTTCTTTTAAGATATTATTCATTGAAATATCTTAATTTTCTCCATAGCTATCACATGGTGATCTAATCGCACCATTTTCTCCATTTTGGTGTTTAATGAGTAACCTGATCATAAACGATCTAGATATTGGACAGGAACAAGACATATAGAAATGAAATCATCATTAATTAAGCTTTCTTTTAAGATATTATTCATTGAAATATCTTAATTTTTCCCATGGTTATTAAATGGTGTGACATTGTTCACAATTTTTCCTTTTTAGACAATAACAAGTAACCTGATTGCAAATGATCTAGATATTAGATAAGAACAAGGCATATCACGCTAAATTCGTCATTAATTAAGCTTTCATTTAAGATATTATTCATTGAAATATCTTAATTTTCCCCATAGTTATCACATGATGATCTCATCATACGATTTACTCCATTTAGGTGTGTAACGATTAACCTGATTGTAAATGATCTAGATATTAGATAAGAACAAGGCATATCACGATAAACTCGTCATTAATTAAGCTTTCATTTAAGATATTATTCATTGAAATATCTTAATTTTCCCCATAGTTATCACATGGTGATCTCAATATACGATTTACTCCATTTTGGTATGTAACGATTAACCTGATTGTAAATGATCTAGATATTAGATAAGAACTAGGCATATCACGATAAAATCCTCATTAATTAAGCTATCATTTAAGATATTATTCATTAAAATATCTGAATTTTCCCCATAGCTATCACATGGTGTGTTATTGTGCACAGTTTCCCCTATTTAAGACTATAACGAGTAACCTGATTGCAAATGATCTAAATATTAGATAAGAACAAGGCATATCACAATAAAATCCTCATTAACTGAGCTTTCTTTTAAGATATTATTCATTGAAACATCTTAATTTTCTCCATAGCTATCACATGGTGATCTAATTGCACGATTTTCTCCATTTTGGTGTTTAATGAGTAACCTGATCATAAAAGATCTAGATATTAGATAGGACCAAGGCATATCGCGATAAAATTCTCATTGATTAAGCTTTCATTTAAGATATTACTCATTGAAATATCTTAATTTTCCCCATAATTATCACCTGGTGATCTAATTACACGATTTACTCCATTTTGGTGTGTAACGAGTAACCTGATTGTGAATGATCTAGATATTAGATAAGAACAAGGCATACCACGATAAAATCCCTGTTAATTAAGCTTTCTTTTAAGATATTATTCATTGAAATATCTTAATTTTCCCCATAGTTATCACATGGTGATCTAATCACACCATTTACTCCATTTTGGCGTGTAACGAGTAACATGATTGTAAATGATCTAGATATTAGATAAGAAGAAGGTATATCACGATAAAATCTTCATTAATTAAGCTTTCATTTAAGATATTATTCATTGAAATATCTTAATTTTCCCCATAGCTATCACATGGTGATCTAATCCTACGATTTTCTCCATTTTGGTGTGCAATGAGTAACCTGACTATAAATGATCTAGATATTAGACAAGAATAAGGCACATTGCGATAAAATCCTCATTGATTAAGCTTTCACTTAAAATATTACTCATTGCAATATCTTATTTTTTTTCCTTAGTTTCCAAATGGTGTGACAACATTACTTTCAAACGCATTCCTGATTCATGAACGCATAAAACTATATAACGAATAAAATTCAACGTCGTTTTAGAGACGAAAAGAACTGTCCAAAATGAATAGATATACTGAAATGTTCAAGATGTCAAATACAGTTTCACACAAACCATCAAAATGTTAGGTTTAAAAATTTCCATTCCTTCTTGTTGTCCAATATTTTTCCCATTCCTCAAGAATGGCTTTCGGAACACTCCATATATTGTGATCGTTTTTCCATATCCAAAAGCCGGGATCGACCCTTTTATTTCATTCGGACGTCTCTTTCTCTCGTTCTGACATTCCAACACCGTCGACGGCGTGACCCGAAGCCTGTCAAATAAAATATGCAATCTGCATAACAAAATGTGCACCGGAACGGCACCACCGGCGTATATGAAGCGGGTGTTTGCCGAATTTCGGATCTCTCTCTTTCTCTGGTTCTCTGCTTCGTTTGGCTTTGCCGTTGGATGGTCGTTTTCAAAGAGTCGTCCACCCTTAACTGCGCACCTCGAACCCTTCGTGGGACTCGTTTGACAAGTGAAAAACGAGAACAAAGGAACGACACCGCCTGCGGCATATGCCGGGATGTAATATGCACTTCGTCACTTTTGGTGACGTTTCGAGAACTTTGTGTATGGTGATATTTCTGAATATTGACAAGGATAATTGCATTTTTTTATATTATATGTCTTCTCAATGTTTTCATTCGTTTTGCAATTCAATAACCTATGATTCCTTTCTGAACCAGGAAGCTATCGATTTCAGACATGGGAAAAGCTTTTTATGATTATTAGTGCCCCGTAGGAAATAGAAGTAATCCTCGTCGTGATATTTCCCTCTAGGAGGGGATATAATTTTTCTTTAATCTCGAAGATTACGCGGAGGTTCGATTTCGATAATCCTTTTCGTCATCATAATAATTCTTTTAAATAATTTCCTATTCGACTCTGCGATGTGGGGTGAGAATATCAAATAGGCTTTTTGGTTAGGGGGTTGTCACTTCTACGTTAATCCCAGTTTAAATAAATCAACGTATTTTCGGGGGGACGGGTCGTTTTAAACGGGTGCAATGGGGGTCCGACCGACCCGGAATGAAAGGGTCGACAAACCCCAGTGGCACTGAAAAGACGCGCCGTCCAGAAACTAAAGTTCAACAAACATAAATAACTCCCTGGGAAACTTTGGGCCAGACATTAAGAGCTTCATGGGGATAATATCAGTCAGGACGGAATCAGCGGTTCCTGAGAGGAGGGGGTTGAATATGATGTGTGGCCGGTTACGAACCGCCACCGGCTGTATTCACCTTGCTCTACAAGAGGGAGTTGGATCGGTACGAAAAGTACGTAGGATGAATGGTTA